GGGGGGGGTCTTCGCCCCCACACAATCCCGTGGCAACTACGACCACGTCGTGACAAAGGCGCTGCGGCCGGACAGCACGGACGTCATTTCGGAAGTTGTCCCTGCAGTTTCGCCCCTCCTTACCCACCCGTCGAGGAGGGGCGGCGGCGGCACGGCGGCGGTTACTCCCAGTTACTCTGTAGTAGTTTGGAAGCCTGTCGAGTCGCAGGCCGTCACTGCCGTGACCAAGGCACGGCGTCAAGGCATGATAAAATTTTGCTCTCGGGCGTCACTTTTGTTTTGCGGTCTTTCCTCCCGCTCTTGCTCCTGATAGCAGCCTTCAAGCAAGTTTTTCATCTTTCCATCGTGTCTTTATTTATCGCATTTTGTTTCTCTTTGTACCTGCCCGCAGCCATGAAGGCTGCCATCCTGATCCAGCAGTGGTACCGCCGTTACCTGGCGCGCATGGAGGTTCGCCGCCGATACACCTGGACCATCTTCCAGAGCATAGAGTACCAGGGCGAGCAGGACCAGGTCAAAGTGAGTGCTTTGGTTCTTTCGAATTTATTTTGCACTGTAAACGTTTGTTAATCTTCTCCATCATCCGTCACACTCGCTTACGTCTTTCCTCCAGCTGTACAAGTTCTTCAACGCCCTGCTGACCCACATCCCGGATCCCACGAGGCAGCCCGTGCCCGCCGAGAGCATCCGGACGGCGGGTGAGCATGCTCGTCGCGCTGAAAGAGATGATGGACCATCGTGGTGCCGGGGGGGTGGGGGTGGGGACTGGCCTGGGGTCCACCAGCTTCCAGGAAAGGGGAGGCGGCGCGCGGGGCTTCTAGGACGCCGCTAACTTGGAGGAGCCCCACATCCTTCCCGCCGGGGGCCGCCCAAACTCAGTTAGTTAAGGGGCACTCAGGTGCGCGGGAGGCGAGCGCCGCTGTAAAACCCGCGCACTACGGCAGCGCGGGGTTGCCTACATTGCCGGGGAGAAAACCCCGTAAAAATAAAAAACAATAAAAAAAGTCTCATGGAAGACCATGAGTTCGTAGAGTGTGCTCCCCTACAATCCCGCAGGGGAGCGCTCGGATGGAGTTAATGAGTGATGGGCCTAATGAACCGGCGCACCCTGCTGCCTGCCGGGCCGGCGCGCCCCCCTGGCGCACCCCATCGGCTGCTCCAGCGGACCGGGTCGGGCCGGCGGGGCTCTGCAAACATAATCCGCGTCGGGTATTGTAATTCTGTGCGAGCGGGACTTCGCGGGGCAGGCGGCGGGCAGCCGGGGAGTGG